ATTTCTGGAAAGTAAAAAATTTCTAGTAATGATAAGGCAATAGTTATATGTTAATCAAATGTCATCTCTTTTAATTTTGTGGGGTTTGTTTGAATTGCTAGAGAAATTAACAAATTCATCCTTGCCCAACATGATGAAGCCTATAATAGGAGTTTGCATTTGTTGGATCAACTGAATTTCTTGGAAGAAATTGTATATAAGCAAATATATTTAGAATAAAAATTATATGACTATTTTTTTATTTTCAAATGTAGTATATAAATACTTGAGAAATTGGTAGACTATGCCTCCGTTTGGGAAGTGGGTTGACTTTTGTGGTTTTTTTTTAGTTATTTTAGCCTGGGACTAAAAAGCCTGATTTGGGAAGGGCTTTTTGGTTTTTTGACTTTTTGACTTTTTGGTGAGTGCCTTCCTGTTATTACCAAGTGCCCTTCTTTCTTGTTGTTGTGTTTGTTGTTGTTTTTTTTTTTTTTTTTTTTTTATTTTCGGTTTGGATTTGGCTTTTTTGCTAACTTTTTTTTTTTCTTTTTTTTGGGTTTGGATTTGGCGTTATTTTGCTAACTTTTTTTTCTTTTTTTATTTTGGGTTTTATTTTGGCGTATTTTGGTAAAATATTTATTTTTTTATCTGGGTTTGGATTTGCCGTATTTTGCTTTATTTTTTTTATTTTTTTTTAAATTTATGTTTTTGTCATTTTTTATTTGTTTTTGTCATTTATATTTTTATTTGTTTTTGTCATTTTATTTTTGGTTTGTTTTTTTATTTTGGGTTTTTGGATTTGCGTATTTTTATTTTTTTATTTTTTTAAAATTTATTTATTTGTCATTTTTATTTTTTTTAAATTTATGTTTTTGTCGTTTTTTTTTTTTTATACAATTATTTTAGTTCTCCGCTTTTTAATTTACATTTTTTGCCTTATTTATTTTTATTGTATACACTAACATTTTTTTTTAATTTATGTTTTCATTTATTTGAAATTAGTGGCGAATGTCAATTTTGTTTTATGTTTTTTTTTAATATATTTTTGATGTTGTTTATTTCAAAATGGGTTTTCATGTGTTTTTTTTAATTTAAAATTTACATGGCAAATGGTAATTTCTATTTTTTTTCTTTTTGGATGAGGCTTATTTTTGTCGTTCTTTTTTTTTTTAATATTACGTTTTTGTAATTTTTTAATATTTTTGAATGGCCGTATTTTTTTTAAATAATTATGTATTTTTAAATTTTTTTTTTTTGCAAAATGGTTTTTCATTGTTTTTTATTTTTGTTATTTTAATTTTTTTTTTCATTTCTGTGAAATGATAAAAAGTGGAGGTTTTTTTACGTTTTTGTCATTTTTTTATTTGTATACATTAATTTTTTTTTCATTTTAATGTAAAATGATAAAAAAAGTGAGGTTTTATATTATTGTCCTGTGTATTTTAAGTAATTTAAATTTTAAATTTATTTAAAATATTAATTTATTTTTATTTAATTTGCGTTTTAATATTTTTATTTACTTTTAATTTTATTTAAATATTTAAATAATGTAATAATCTAAAAAATTATATAAGTAAAAATTTAAATAAATTTTCAAAAATTAAATAATTTAAATATTCAAAAATTATTTTAACAAAAAACCT